TATTATACCAAGTGGTGTGTGTGTGTGTGTGTGTGTGTGTGTGTGTGTGTGTGTGTTTTGTACAGGAACATGACTGTTTCATGTCAGTGTGTATCGTAAATGCTGCAGAGCATCTTTCTACAACTTGGAGCCCTGTAGGTGTCCTGGACTACAGCTTGTAGCGTTGGCTGGCAAGTGTTGGAAGTCGTATTTCAACATATCAGATTCATCCCTGAATCTGGTGGAATTAATTGCCCTCCTTTGAAAGGTGCTGAGGAAAGAAACCTTGAGGACACAGTGCAAGCCGAGGAGGTTATTGGGAAAACTGGGTTGTCTGTCCTGGACGCTTGCTTCTTCGTGCTGTGCAAATGCTCATCTGTGAGCATTTATAATATCCACTCCCTTAATCTTCACTTCCTGCTTTTACTTGAATTCAGGAATGTACGAGAGATAAATTAGGAAATTTCTAACCAGAGCAAGTTATTGGATTAGATATATTGCATCATTAGTTATTTCATTAGGTGTTGCACATCAGATGAGTACACATTTTCTCCTACCACAAATGTGTTAGTATTATCACTTCCTGAGCAAACAAATCGTAGTGTATCTGTTGGCGCTGCTATAAGTTAAATGGCCAATGTGCATAAGAACTAGCTGGGCACATAAACTGTTAATGTAGAGCAAATTGTGCATGTTCTCTAGCCCTCATGGTTAATTTCCAATGGCCTGTGGGAATGTGCATATTTTCACTGTATTTGGAACATGCTGGAGCCATTGTGCATAGTCCTGATCTTGGGAAAGGTGAGTGCACTCAACAAACCTGGTAACTCAGCTGCATTTTGTACATTCTCTGGGCATATGTACATCTCTAGTCAACATTTATAGTCTTCAACAGTCTTTGATGCCTGTGCATCTCTCAGCAGTATTTTATACATTATGTGGGAAATCTGCATAGTTTCCAAGAAGCAATGGAGAATATGTATAATCTGATCTTGGTTTTAGTCCATGTAGTAAGCATGTTCTCCAAGGATCTTTGAAGAGAATGTTCATACATCAATAACTTGAACAAGAAATTTTGCAACAAAGTTCTCAGCAAGTGATGTTAGAGGATATTTATAAATAACTAAAAACTGTGAGATCAAGCCAAAGGTCTAATTCTAGGCATTGGTGTCATCTAGAAGTGAGTCTGACCCAAAACGTACCCAGCCCAGAAAAAGAAGTTGATTTCTGGACTAGAACCACCACCACCATGACACCATTGTTGTTGTTGTTGTTGTTGTTGTTATTATTATTATTGATAAATCAAAATAGTATTTCGATTTCTAAATACAGTCCAGATTCTCATGTCGGGATTTTATCACCTTTTCCCTTTGCAGGTTTAGATCATTCTTGCACTGTTCGAAGGAAACATTGGAAAGAAATCAGTTGTTTATGTCTCTTAAGGCACAATCCTGTGCATCTTTAGATAGTTAAAAAAGACGTTAGTGCAGTAAAATGTTCAGTGCTTGAGGTGTTTTTAAACTCATGTTGATTTCATGTATGGTGAAATTAAATGTTTGGAAGGTTTTATACACATTTAATCTGATGATTAGGTACTGCCTCTCTTCTAGTTAAGCATTCTGTTTGGATCAACGAATGAAACAGTACAAAATGAATTTGTCTGGAATGTCCTGGCAGTGAAAAAGTTTCAGCTAGAGCATGGGGTAGTAGCACCCCTAGGATTGACTGCAGGGCTCTCTCCTGCACTGTTGTTAGAGCTTGGATTTCTCCATTGCAGTTAAGAAAACAATCACCTAGGGCATTTACGAAAGCATCACTCGCTGAGCTCTCAGTCCCAGCCCTAAAGTAACAGAGACATCTCTGTATATTTGGCAGTAAAACAATGCGGTACTTTAGCAGGGTAGCTTTTGCCTGGAATGTAGGGTTTGGTTATCACAATTAGTCAGTCTGGACTGGGACCCTTGTGCAGTTGGTCGGTGTGCTTTGCCCTACTGCAGTCCCGGCCAGAATTGGTGCCCTGCACCTGCAATCTGCATTGCCAAAAACGGCATTGAGACATAAGAATTATTTCTGACAATGAGAATTTGTGCAAAGCTCCTGATCTGGTGTACTACTTAATGGAGACCTGCTGTAATTCCTACCTCTGGGCACACTGGCAACTTGTGTGTGTGTGTGTGTGTGTGTGTGTGTGTGTGTGTGTGTGTGTGTGTAAGGATGGAGCTCCACAGTGAGAGTTAAATAGCACCTTATCTTAGTAGTGTAATTCTGGACTTTCATGTGATACTCTGGTGATGGTCTTGTATTGCCTCTTTATGCAGCTAATTTGTAATCCTGTAAATCATCCCCACCCGAAACCCTGATAATGGGCATGCTGTGGTGTCTCTTGCTGCTATGACTGCAAACAACTTGATGGACCAAATGGCCCAACTATGAAGGGTAAGATGGTGGCTATATATCATAGGTGGCAGCAGCAGTGTCCTGGACAGATCCTGAGTGTTTGTCATGGTGTTACGGAATGGGCAGCTGCTCAGACTGGAGAGAAGGGATGAGGCAGCAGACTGTTGACCGGAAGGATGTGGTGTGAGTGGTGAGAGAGGGTAAGGTGGTGCTACCATCTAGACCGAGGAATTTTGCCAATTTTGCAATTGACTGTGACTGGCCATTAATAGGGACCAGGAAGCAGGGTGAGGGGATTAATTTCCATACTGAGTTGAAAGTATTTAGCTGTAGGTCTCGCAACTTAACAAAGTTCTCTTTCTGATACTATATGCAACCACTAAAATGCTTTTCTGTAGATTCAGTTTATTAGATTACCGGGAATTATGCAGAGAAATGAGAAGTTTCAGCCTTGGGGCTGGAAGTTTCCCTCAATCCGGTGGCTTCCAGATGTATTGGACTACATCTCCTAGCATGGCTGGGGGATACTGGGACTTGTGATTCAACAGATCTGGAGGCTACTTCCTTGGGGAAGGCTATACTAGGAAACACTAGATGGACTGGATCCACTGGTTTCTTTCCACTGATAGAGCAAGTCTTTGCCACCTGGAAGAATACAGACCACTTTTGTCTGAGAAAACCTTTTCCTATAAACATCCTTGCTATTTCAAACCTAATCCTTCATGATTAAGTTACATAGATGCAGTTGTGATTTCTTTCTTCCTTTTTCTGTTTGCAAAGTACTTGACAAAAGAATGCTTTAACAGCTAGAAGCATTTAAATGGCATTAAAGGTTATACTAATTAGAATGAGTAGCTGTGAAAACTGCTAAAATTCTCAAAAACTATAAGCCGTTTAAACATTCCTCATTTTAACAGTTTTCTGTCTCAAGTACACCTTGTAGTTTTAAGGGCAAAAAGTGTACAGAGTAATAATCTTAATGGGAAAATATGGGAATTTGGGCTGAAAATATTGATCTGAGGGGTAGCTTTGGCATTTAAGTATTTAACAAGTTTATATAATATCATCATCTGTGTTTGAACATTAGCAAACAACTTGCTTACTACAAACACACTGAATTCAATTTTTTATCTAATAACAAATGACAAAGCTGTTGTGCTTAATGGAGTGGGGCTCTCAGATTCTGGGAAAACCACTTTTTGGATCGTGTCAGGCATGAGGGATGGGGACTCAAGCTGGGTGAAAACAGCTGCCATCACATTTTGCTTGCAAGGGTAGTCTCAGAAATGCAGTGAAATCAATTCATCATCCTCTTCAAGTGGTACTACAGGGTCACTACAGTAATCTACAACTCTGCATGCAGGATTGGATGTATTTCTTGCAATAGCTTAACTTACTTCTAATCTCTCTCCCCACCCACCCGTCTAGCATTTGAGGTATTTTGCTTCAGAACACCTCACCTGAATATTATTCCACTCACTATTCTGGCCATGTCATGCTCCTCCTCCTCTGCCTTCCTATCTACCTCCAATTTCTTCACAAATTCTCAAAACCATTCATAACATAATTGCTCATCTCTTAATCCCATCACATCCCTCCATCTACCACTCCGGTTATCCCAAGGTCTTCCCTCTTTCAAAACTACTCTGCCCTTTCTGTTTGCAACTGCCTCTGCATGAACCTTCCTTTTCACTCCTCCTTAAAACTCACCATTTGGAACTATACTGATCCCACCATACTATTGCAGGATTCAGTAACTGGGTGTCCTTCAGCTGTTTTTGACTACTGCTTCCAGAAGGCCTAGCTCCCGTGTTCATTGGTCAGTTGTGCTTCTCATCCATGGCCTATACATGCCATGATTCTCCACTCCTCCTTCCACTTCTCTTTTTCCCCATCTATCTTTAGCCTGCATCCCCTCTGGGGCAGGTACATATAAAATCTGTTCATAGCAAAGCACCATGTATATAAATGATACTATATAATGATTAAAGAAGAGATTGCCAGGCCATGGAATGATTCTCCTTCTCACTGGCATTCCACCTTACTGTAAAAACAATTTAAGAACAATTGTGTTGGTGTTGAAGTAGCTTTCTTTAGTCTTGCCCCTTAGGTAAAATATTAGAAAGCCTTGAAGACTAGAAGTATGAGAAAGCCATTACTTTTAAACACTGTATTGTTACTAGACCTGGTTTTGTTCCAAGGTAACTTTCATAAGCCTATCAAATAAAATCATTTTATAAATGTAGTAGTTCTGGTATTAAACTAATATTTTGCAGACCAAAATTTCTAAGAAATCCTTGGCATCCAACAGCAATGAATTACATTGGGGGAGATGTGGACTTGTTTCCTTTACCTTCTTGCTCTGGAAAAAGACCAAAGCCCCATGGTGTAGCTGGGCATAAAATAGATACAACATCTGGTAATATTAGAAGTGATTGCATTTTTAAAATGATTAGCATCCAAACAAGTAAGCAAAATGAAGATCTGTGAACCCATGATGTGGCGTTATTAAAAATAATTTTAGGAATGCATCTCTTTTAAAGAAACTCACATGCTTGAATTCCATTGGAAGGAATAGCTTACCACACAAAGTATTTTTCATACAATTATTTATTTTACTCTAATATTAGATTGCAAAGAAAAACACATTCTTTAAAAAGTGAGCTTAGTGAATACTACTGTAGTAACAAGAGGCAGCAAATGCAAACTTGTTTAATTGATCATGGAAGGGCTTAAGAATACATACTGAGTTGGAACATGATCATTCCTGCAACTTATACACCAGACTTTTAAAAGGCTGCAGCCCAATATATATGTAAAAGAAAGTCATTTCCTGTTCTAGCAAAACAGGCCCACTGTAGTATTTACCACTTCCATGGTGGGAGGCAGAATATCTACAAGCCATAAATGTTATTACTAATGTTGAGGCCAGTGATCCAACTGATGTGGAGCTGGTCTTTGACCATAATAAAGTTTTTATCTTATCATAGCTGATGATCACTATCAGCTAAGGCAAGCCTAACTGGGAAATTTGTTGGCCAAATAAAGGCTGGACATCTGAACTGTCATTGAAATTTGTTGCAGTGTTGCTACAAAGGCTTGTCTCTGTTCTTCTGGGCTACTTTTAAGATCCTCTATGATTTTCTGAAGATAACCTGGGAGGTTCTGAAAGGTTTCAAGCTCTCTAGAATAAAGATCTACAAACCAATGGCCAGAAGAGTTAGTATTAAATTTACAAGAATCAGCTGATACATCAAATGGATCTGAGCAGCCTAACTTTTTAAATGTTACAGAAAGAGGTCTAAATAAGTTATACACAGAACAAAAGTTAAGCAACATTTTGCAAAATAAGGCAGTCCAAATTTCTGTCTGATCACAATCATTGCTTTCGACTTGAGCTTGAAATGCCTCAGCTCTCTCTCCTTCTGACATAGCAACTTCCAAAAGATGATGTTTAGTTGTTTCACACTCTACGAGATCAAGTGGCAGGTTTCCCTCAGAATCTTCCAGCTGCAGCAGTGCTGGTCCTGCATTGAAACAACCATTAAATAGAGGAGGATATAATTGATATGTGGTTAAACCAGTGAGTGTGATTTTGAAATATTTGCAGGTATAGCTGAAACTTTTAAATATGACTTTACTGTGGCACAGATATTTAAATAACTTTGGGTTGGATCCTGATTTAGGTATATGTACTGGGACTTGCATAGAAGGACTTCCCTGCCCTTTCCTTCCTGCAGCAAATTTTCTTGAACTGCTACACAGAGGGTTGGGGGAATCCTACTGAATAATGGAGTGGGGGTGAGCTCCCTGCAAATCAGGCAGTGGCACCTTCAGTCAGCAGAGTTCATCTATAAATGAAAGACGGATCCTGAATGCAAGTGCTCATTAATTAGAATGAAGATGTAAAAGCATTGCCTGTTCCATGGGTAGGCAATTTATGGCTTTTGGGTTGCTTTTGCCCTGCTGCAACTTTCGTTCCTCATCAATACAGCCATATCCTAATTCAGTCATATGCTGAAAGTTCAAGAGCAAAAAACAGTTCTCTTTAAAAATAAATACTTAACAACCACACACAAAATGCAAGTCCTACACCATTTACTCAGCAGTAAGGTCCACTTATTCAGTGGGACTTTCTTCTGAATATACATAAAATATGCACTATAAGCCATCTTGCATTCCTCCCAAGAAGAAAAAGGTGGTATATTAATGTAGTAATAACATTAATTTGACATATTTAACTAAAGCACATTATTAATCCTGATCTCACTAGTGTATCAATTTCTTAAGGAAATCAGTTGATTTTTGTTATAACATGTACCATGTTTCAGAAAATGTACTTTCCCCAAGTGACCAACTTTATCAAGATACACTTCTATAAAATATTTGTTTTTTATTATACAGCACTGATTGTCCTGCCTGCTTTGTTTAGTCTTCTCTCTCTGATTTTAAATGCTTTAATGGATGGTATACCTTAAAAAAAGGTTTTTAAGATGCTAGTGGAAGACCTTTTAAAGACTCTCTCCAGCAACTTCTACCTCAGAAAAAACTGCCTCTCCTCCACTGCAGTCAAGCTTTGAAGAAGCCTTAACTGGAACAATGCGAGCATTTGTGGGGTTTTCTCTCCTTCTCTGCTGCACAGAGAAAGATGAACACTCTCCAATGCTGTCCTGAAATATGTGCAACACAGGCAGGGCATTTGAAAGAAGGGGAGTCTGTATGTATATATTAGAGAGTGTTATCTGGCCCACTCACTTTTGCTTTTAGCTTCACCTATCACTGGAATGTAGCCCCCAAGGGATTCTCAGATATGAACTTCAGAAGTCAGGGTGAAATAGGTCCACTGCTGAACTGCAGTAAAACCATTTTCACAATATTCTTCTTCCTCACTTTGAAGGAAGAGAAATGCCACCAATTACTCCCCTTGGCTATTCACACAGAGGACCTGGTTCATGCTGGAGGCGGTCTCCATATGGGGGTGTAGGGGGAGGTCCTTCTACTCTAGCACAGTGTATCAGAATCTCTCCCCCCACCCACTGCCAAAGATTGCATGTAAGAACCAGGGCTTTGTTTCTGATGTTAGGTAAACGGCACAATTTACTAGATAATGCTAGAAATATATTAACTTTTTTCTCAAAGAATCACAATCAAGTCATTTTATATGTCTGGTCAACACGATCATCTTAGGCCAACAGCTTTTGATATCACAAAGCCAAAACATTCACCGTAGAATAAAGACAATTTGCTTGTTTTCAGTAAGCATATGCAGAGACCAGACAGTGCACCTAGCCACATCCACTACAATCCAAGATTGAAGTCTAGATATACAAGAAACTAATACACTTAGCTAAATACGTCAAGCCACATTTAGCACCATGTATTACCTTGAGGGGTTTTTTTAGGGGAAGGAGGGGATATCAATATTGTATAACTGAGATTATTCAAATGGCCTGCACAACACACTGAAGTGAAATAAATGGTGATTTGGCAATGTGGATATCAGCCTATAGAGTAGCTTCTATAAAGGTAAAATGGAGGCGAAAGTCAGGATGGCATGTGAACTAGGAAAGAGAAAGAGCTGAAGGCTCTCTAAAGGACAGTTAGTTACCAAACATGAGTAATTCTACACTGAATGTGCAACACAGTTCCTGTCAGAGTGCTGTCAAACTGTTTGACAGGCCAAAGCCTGGCACGTGACAGCAAAGATAAGTCTGCACACGCAGCCTGTACATTGCCAGAAGACCTTGATGAATGAAAGTGCAAGTAGATCTTCTCCCCTAGGACAAGGGGATCATCCACTGGCCATTCTTCACCGACACCCAGGAAAAATGCACATCTGTCAGTGTAATGTCACACATTCTATTGAAGGCTTGGACTTGCTGTAATATTGGCTCTTGCATCACTTAGACCGATTGAAGAGAGGCCAGGTATTGGCTTGACATGTCAGTTGCATGGTGCAGTAGATAAATAAAACACCTGGGAGTCAGCATTAAGTTTCAGCACAGCACATTGAGGGAGAGGAGCAAGGAATCTATTGATTATGAAAGGATGTCAACCAGAGACAAAGAAAGTAGCCTTTAGGGGGCAGGAGAAGACTGCAGATGTACAGAGGTCTTTTAAAGCAGACAAAACCAACACAGTGTTTGTGTTTCTTAGTTAAAAAGCTAAGCACAGAACATTTGTTTACTGTATACAACAGAATTGTTGGAACAGCTATACAAATCTGGAAACAAGACAACATGTAAAATTAGACTGACACATACAGTGGAATTAGGACTATTACACAGGATGTTGCATTTTTCAAAGGCTTAATTTTATATATACAGTTTATGTGTCTCGTGTGTGTGCGTGCGCGCACACACTGACATGCATGCGTGCACACACCCCAGAGAGAGGTAACGTGGCAAAAAGGGTGTATATATAATGTTTCCGTTTTAATGTTTAATAAAGCAAAAATGGGAAGTGAAACATTCTAAAATCAGAATTAAGGAAGACATCTAGAAGCAAAGTTACTAGGGAAAAGTTAAGATCATAATGAATTAAAGCAGGATTGGATTGAACTGAAATTAAACAGCATGAAGTGGTTAAGCTGAACAATAGTTCATTGTAAAAATCAGTGTAGAACCAAGATTTTGTGAAAATGGCACGCCTTCTGTATCTACATTTAATACATATTTTAAAAAACTACAATTTAGCAAATATGAAAAGCAGCTAATGTCATGGGTCTACTAAAATAATTTAACTGACAAGATGAATGAGTGTCAATATGGCAAGATATACATCAATATTTATGAAAACCTCTAGCATTCAAAATGACATCCAAAACAGTCTCCAACTTTAACACACTGCAGTTTTTACAGATTTAAATTTCTCAGAGCTTATTTAACATAAATGCACTTACCCCCATGCTGAAGAAGGAGCTCGGCAATCTCTACATGTCCATTTACCAGTGCATCATGCAAGGGAGTTACACCATCCACATGACTGAACAGGTTTACCTCTGGACAACGCTGCAAAATTTCACGGACACACACTGTGCTACCATGGTTACAGGCTTCATGCAAAGGCGTCCAACCAGCATAGTCTGAATTATAAATCAAGCAAAGTTTGGGGGAACAGCAACATTAGTAGCAGGATGTTCATAATACTGTAATTCAGTTGCTTAAAAGGGAAAAGCCCCATGTTCTATCTGGTACTAGTATACAGTAAAGATTTTGTTTTAGTTATGTCTTTATGCTCGTACTTTCAAAATGTAATAACCTGATTAATACTCTCTTAGAGGCAAAGGTTTACTTCAGTGACATTTTGCAGCAAGTGAATATGTTGCTCCCTTTCTGCAAAGCAGAATTTTGTTGTTCTTTTAAAAATTGAAATTTGTACTCAAATTCCCAAGAATAGAATTGAATTTGCATCATTTATTTCTAAAGCTATTCACACTTTTATCCTCATATCTACAAAAGAGTCAGAAATAAGTAGTGTTTAAAATGCTACTGTGCATTAATAGAAAACCCTCACATACAATTAAAATGCAATGAAATGGCTGGTCCAATGAGCTTTAGTCACAAGCTAGTCATAAAACCTTTTCTTGAAGTCACAATCCCTTAACAGAAAAAACAAGGAGTGATGAGAACTTGGCAAACACAGATGTCACAAGTTTTTGGGAGGCTTGGGGTATTTGCCATGGAAAATAAACTACTTACCTTTAACATTAATATCCATTCCTGGAAGAGACAGAAGAGGAATCAGTTTCTTCACATTGTTGCCTTTGCAAGCAATATGCAGGGCGGTCTCTCCTAGCATACAAAATTAATACATTATACCAGTTAAAGCAAAATGCCCTTGAAGACAATAAAACAATAGCAGATCAGACTACATGCCAAATAAATCAATAATAAATTGTCTTTTTCCTGTTTAAACATGGTTTTAAAAAATTAAAAAACACACAGAGCTTCTGTTCCAACAGAGATCCAGCAGTGAAACTGCACTGCGAAAGGGTTAACACAGGAATTATCTCCCCCCTCCTACACACTACCCGCCCGTTTAAAGCTATAAAAGCTTCAGTCACATTATAAAAGCACCAAATGATCACAGAACACCAAAAATGCTTGGTTTTGAAGCAATAAAAGTTTAGAGTGCGGTTGCCCTCCCTTAAATTTATTCATGAACCTACATTAAGTGTATGGTTCTTTTTACACAGCGTTTGTAGCTTAATTCAAATGAATGTTTCTGGCTAAGCACGAGTGCCTCTACACACTCAAGTATAATTCAGAACTTCAAATCCGTTAACAGATGGTTTGCTGTTTTTCAATAGGCTGTCTGGCTTGCCTACAGTACCAGAGAGAGAGAAAGGGGAGTGGGTATGGATAAGGGAAAGAGAGATTAAAAAGAATGAAGCAGTCTTAAGAAGAGGGAACACAGTCTCATTTAGTGCTAGAAAAGAGGCAACCAAACAGTGAAGACTAAACTGCAGTTTACAGGTAGTGCCCCAATTAATTCAAGGTATGAAATTCTGGAATTTCTTATCCATAATATTTAGTCAGCTGAACAAGAGCTCATGGAAAATGTGATCTGAAGTGAATAATGAAACAAGCCCTAAAACATGAGAAAGCAGATTCCGGCAACCCCCAGCATTTGTACAATGGGTCTAAGTCAACATAAATGGTGCAGAATCCTTCATCCAAAAGTGAATTCCAAATGGCTGAATAGCCACCCTAAGCCACTTCAGTCATGCTATATTTACCCATAGCAAGCATTTGTCTTTTGCAAGAAGCTATATAGCTACTTATTTAGTGAAAGCTTTTCAACTGTCTTTACTCAGTTTTACATCAGACAGTAATTATGGAAGAGTTTTTATTACTTCTATACTAGCATATTACAGGGTTAAAGTGAGAATAACTTGAACATCAGGTTTTTTGTTATAATTAGTGAGAATTTAGTATAAAATTAAAATCTAAGCAAAGTGTGTATTTAAGTATCTTTTTTCTTTAATGGTAATGGACATGTAATTTCGAATACAGTTCTCAGAAGGACAGTCATTTAACTGCAGATAATCTTAAATGTCACAGAATATTTTATACCTTAGAATAAAATTTACACTAAAAAGTATTCCTGGCAAGTTATTTAACATAAGTACTGACTTGTACAAGTGCATTGTATTATATTTATGCTTCAAGTGGAACCTGGCTAAATTACTACACTATTATTTTAACCTTTGGTGATTGGATTCCAGTGTAGTTAAGTTTAAGAGCCAAACGCATTTCACAGCCTGGGCTCAATGCCTAGAAGAAAACAGTCCATATGCTTAATAAGGCTACATAACACAGCATACACTTCAGTCTTTGTTCAGAAAACGTCTAGGGCTGAAAGAGATGAAGCCTGAATTAGACTTTCAAATCAGAAGACGATGCTGATCCTTCCTAAGCACAGGTTGAGGTGGATTAGTGAAGTAAGGCAGTCATGACTGGAATGGACTCATTTAGGATGCACCCTCAATTTCCAACTTGGTGTGTGGGTCTGAAGGAGTGTGTATGTGAGGACGGGGAGGGAAAGGGGAGGGATGCCTGAACAAAAAGCTTTATTCTGTCTCCTACAGGATTATTTCCCTTACTAAAAAAAGAAAAGAGAAAAGGACATTATGTAACATGTAAGTGCAAAGACGTGATGCTTGACTTATACAGTTCTAAGATACTACTCTGCCTTCTATAAGGCCAGTTGTGAAACTATTAATAGCAAAACTGTGAAGTAGTATAACTTAGGAACTCAAAATACCTTTAAGATTAACCTTGTGCAAGTTCGTCTGTTTAGCTGTTGAAAGGCAGTTTTCTGTACTTCCAGCTTTGTTTCCAGATTTCTTTGGAACATGAACAGAGTTTTCAGTGGTTTGTATACTGAAACAAACAATGAAAAAAGTGTATTAAGATGAATGAATTATTTGACTTTAAAATGACTGCAGGAGGATGTAGTAATAAGTGTACACACAGACAGATAATTTCTATGTGTTCGGATTTTGAAATTTGAGTTTTGAAACGTTCACTACAGTATGTACCTATAATAAATGTAGCAATCATTCAATATACAGGGTTTAAGCTGTTTTTAAAAATGTAATTCCATGAATAGATCCATTTCTCCTGGGAAGCAATTTACATTAATAGTGGAAAAGTATGTGCAGTCTACATATAGAGAAAAGAAAGGAGAAAACACACACACACACCCTACCCAGATGTATTATAGGATTAAAACAGAGCTTTCTGCCAGTCACAGTAATTTGCAGACAACAACACAGGTCACATAAAGTTCAAGAAATGTGTCAGGTCAGAAGCTGTCCCCCAAAGCAGAATAAAACCGGTGATGTTATAGGTATTACTTACGGTACATCAGGCAGCACTTTGGCTTGGTTCTGCTTATCACCATTTAGAATCAGTAATGCCCTCTGAGACTCAGGGCAAGGCCACTGCCCTATTTTCTTTTTCTTTGCTTTCTGTAGCTTCCCTGTCTCACGCATCCCTACTTGTAAAGCAGGCAGATAGGAACAAACCTGTTGCAGGAGTGACACTTTAGTCTGACTATGTTTAAAAATATTAGGACATGTCTGTTTATTACAACCACTACTGGCTTCCTCCACAGGTTGATTGGCTATGTATTTATTTATTTATATTTAAAGTAGTACAGCCTCCCTAGCTTTCATAGTACCATACCTTGTGGTTTATGAGGTGGTGTGTGTGTGAAAATATCCTTTGGCCAATATACTTTCTTACATATAGCATGTAGCGTTAGGGTGTTCAGTTAAAAGCTGCTCACACTGTTGAAGCAGAAAAGCAAAGAGCTAGAAGCAGAACATTGCCAAGAGCGGCTCAGAAAGCAGAGGATGTTCATACAGTTCTGACGTTCACTGGCTGTGACAACCATTGCCTATGGTGTGGCTTCCAGTTAGCTCTCACCCTGCCTGAGGAAGTGCAACCAGGCCACTGGTTAACATTCCCCACTTTGCTGCTCCATCAACTAAGATGACAGCTTAGTATTCAAACTCCATTTGTCCACATAAAAGATTGTATACAACAGAGTTCTTCCATTCATAGAAGGATCCAGCAGACCCTTCTGTGAATGGACCAGGTGATTTTGACTGATGTCTGCTTAGCTCTACAGTTTCCCAAGCTTCTCCCATCTGTTTCAGGAAGGACTCTTTGGAAGGATATGGAAGTAGTGTGGGGGAACTGTAGAAAAGGAGAATTTGCAAATATATATATATTCTGTTAATGGAAAGGCATGACTGGCTACAACCCATATACAGGAGAAAGGAGAGTGAAAGAAAACCTCTCCTTTTTCCAAGTGGGACCTTCCAGTGGGGATCTTGTTGGACCAGGTCCCTTTCACTCAAACAGCTAAAGTACTCAATTTGTTAGGCTGGGAAAAGAAGTGCAACGGCACCTTCTTCTGTCATCCTATGGTCTACCAAGGAAGGCTGGAAATTCGAACAGGTCAAGGATTGTTCTACTAGGAACTCCTTCTCACATATGCTGGCTTTTATTTATTTGGGAGGAGTGGGATGGCAAACCAATTGTAGTTTTGGGGAGCAAATTATGAATTGTAAGAGTTCTGTCAGGAGTGCTAGTAAGTCATCTAAAGTAGCATCCACATAATGGAATGGGGAAAATATACTGATGAATGGAATGGTGGGGAATACATTACTGTACAGCTGAATGGAGCTTCATATGTCACAGGGGGACTAGGATCATAAGATAAAAACATTTGTCATTGGGCAAATGTGCATGAGAGTTAGAGATACTGGGACAGGTCTAAAGTTGCACAAATGAAAGGACTTATGATTGAAGCAAGTTCTCCCTTTTCTACTCGAGCAAGCTGCCCTCTCCATTCTACTGGTTATTTTCTCCTCCAGCAGCAGTCCCTAGCACTACAGTCTATGATGTTCATGAGGGTATTTTTTCAGGGACATTAAGGATTTCAGACTTTTCCCCTCATGCAATTTTGGGCCCAACTCATTGTTTGGAAGGAGAGTCATGAAACGTAGGGGAGTTAGGGGAGTTAGGAGTAGGAGTCATCATGAAACTGACTAGTAAGCAGAAGGAGAGGTGAAGGAGAGATTGGGTTGAAGGGAAAAATGAAAGGAGAGGCCAGGAATCAAGGAGGGATGAAGTCAGAGAAATGTTCAGGGAGAAATATGACATAGAAACTTAGAGCCTGGTGGAAAGTCCTGTCAGCAAACAAAATTGAGAAAAGTTCTAGTTACAATGCTTGAAGTAAAGGATTAATTTTCTGTACTGATCTAAAATAAACAGTCTCAAAGTTTGGGCTCCAAGTCCCTAGCGTAAAATATTTCTTGAATGTGTGTTGTTGTAAACCATCCAGAGACCACTTTGGCTATTGGGTGGTACAGGAATAGAATTAATCGTGATCATCTGGAGACATACTTAGGATGGTAAGGTTTCCACTCCACAGTCTGTCAGGGTTCAGATATCACTGAGTGCATGATCAGGGAAGGAAAAGAAGCCACGGGGCCACAGCCTTCCAGCGCATGCCAGTCATGCATTGCTTCATTTCCACAATTAGCTTCACTAGATATGGGCCAGCATGTTGTCCAAACACAGCAATGGGAGCTGCTTCCAAAGCACAGTGGAACTCCAGAACAAGCTATGCATGCATGAACCTTCCGTGTCAGTTTTTGACATGGCAAATCACACTTGACAAAGCTGTGCATAATTATGGAAATAAGGTGGTGCATAACTGGCTTACCACAGCAGCACCTTTTCCTTCCCCATTTGCACAAACCTGGCCACTGCTCTGTTTGTGATGAAATACTGAATAGTGGAGCCCGGTCTCTGTTAATTAGAAGGAAACATACTGCGCAACATAGATACAATACCATTATGATTAAAATAACAAGGGGAAATAAACTGCTAGGGGGTACAAAAATCCAGGAACAAAGTGAAGAAATCTGGCCAAGCAGTCTTCCAAAAGTGCTCCCCAGAACCATGTCAGCTGTCTACCTACTATTTAAAAATTGGTCTAATCTGTGATAACCAAGGTCCATGAGTTAATATCCTAGTTTGCTGGAATTTCTTAAAGTACAAAGGCACAAGACAGTGGTGAGGAAAAAATGCGTATGTGGCTCATCACAGGTCTAAACCTGTATTTACTGGACAATGATCATGACATCTGAATTGGACCAGAGTATTTTTACATTTAGAATAAGCTTAAATAGTGCAAACTACACCTACCATTTTTTGAAGTGAGAGTGGTTCAGAAGAAATAATAGTGATGGTATGGAAATTTAATTTAAAGACTGCTTCTGCAACAAACATTTCAAGCCACTGAGATGGAATGGAAGAAATGAACATTTTTAATTGCTCTGGTGAAAAATCTGAAGGGAGAAATGAAAACCGTAAGGAAACAATACAGAAACAAAGCTAATGGCCATATTACCGCTACATTTCTATTTTCTTTATCACTATTTCTAAATTCGGATTACTAAGTCAGAGAAAACATAGTATACAATGGTTAAGAGGGATGGCTTCTGTGATACTGCTAAGAGTATCAGAGGCTGTCAACAGCTACAATTAAGCCACCAAACTCTAATGTGCATGAAAATGTCTTAAATATATTTTATTATAGTGTATCTATATCTATCATACATGGCATACGCTCTACGTATAAAGTGACTGAGGACTAATGGGTAATCAACTCTACCACAAATTCAGTAACTTCATCACACACATAATATCTGAATGAAAAGCACTAACATCTAATTTTCCTGGATAGGAACATGTAGGATCTTCAAAGACAAAAAGACTGATAAAATCCTGGATTTTATGCCATGTGCTGCTTCAGACTAGGCAAAGTTAGTTAAACTTTTTGATCCACATACATGCATTTTTCCTCCCAAAGGACCATCAACTGCTTTATAGTTGTTTGCTTTTTTAGGGAAACCTTTGCCCTCATTTTGTTTTATCAATTTTTCAATGCTGAATACTGAAAATATAACGTAAATGCCTCTAAACAGAGTTCATTAGAAAAAAATGTTCACATAAGCTTTTAAAGGGGAAAATGATACTTCAGAGAAGTTACAATACAAAAAGAAATTTCAAAGTATGCATTAAGAAAGAAAATTGATTCTGCAAACAATTTGCAGATTCTTGGTTTTACATTTTAGCCATTTGAATCTAATATAAATGATATACAGTAGTCTGTTTAATTGGGTTATATAATTAGCCAGCCCAATATTAGCCTTACATAAATGTTCTTTCAACATGGACTGTACATGTGAGCAGTTCTACACTGCCACTTGTAAAAAACAGGCAGACTATAAAGGATATCACTGATGTAGCTTTGGGCTGAAGAAATACTTAGGTAGGACAACAGTGAGAAAATCAATTTCAAGGGCAGTATATAGGATTGCATTTTTTTAAAGAGCTGTACCCAACTGTCAGATTTCCTTTCAAACTGGCACTCAAGGGCAGGTATGAGATTACTACTCCGGGAGCATTACTACAAAGCAGTATTTACATTTGGGATATTACCTGGTCTTTGTAGCAGCTATAAGATAGTAAATATATAGAGTTGTGACTTTTTCTTTCTCATTGACAGAGACACCATCTAATGGAATACCACATACATTCCCTGGCTAAGGCAAGAGTGGACCAGGAGAATAACTAATATTTTTAAAACATCTGGCTATTAGAATTTACCTTATGCTTAGGTAATTGTTTATTCACTTATTTGGTTCAGGTTGAAAGGTTTGCAAGAACAATTGTCTGAGGGAAAGCTGAAATTTCCTTAAGCCCCATTCTGTACTGTTCATTAAAAATGAGCATAACCAGTTGTGCAAATTACAATATAAAAGAAGACTGACTTGCCAGGTACTTAAGGCACAGGATGGAGGGGAGTAGGTGTGAGTGAATAATAAGGACAACCAAATATGGAGATAAAACTGGCAAAAGGGGAGGAAAAGGGTAAGGGACAAACAGTTACAGAAGAGGAAGACTACTTCATATAGTGATTTAAAATAATTATTTTAATTATTAGAATCAGATTATTATTATAATATAATAAATCATCATCATATGTTTAACAAAGGGTTTGATTCAGTCTTCTCAAGCTGCTCATGTAATGGTTACAACTGGCAGAATGAGACTTGCACATCCTCTCCTCATCTCTGATGAACCCTCCAAATCTATGCCAGAAAATCAGAGGACCCTCCAGAAGAGATGGGGAGCTTCAATGGAGGACATGAAAGAGAGCATGGTGCTAATGCCTGACGTTTATACAAATTTAAGTAATAAATAATGGAAAGTCTAAATCTGCTAGCAATATTCAATCTCTGAGCACAGTGAAGAAGTTATATCCAACCTGATTTTTAGTTTGGATATGGAGACTGCTAAGTTTTACAATTAAATAGTGTTTATAATTTATTCATTATGCGTAAGTAAGATAAAATCGCTTACCATCACATGAAATGGCAATATAGGATGCAAGATCATCAGCTACAGGATGCACTGTGTTCCTGTCAATTATGAACCCGGAAATAATCCAATACTCTACCACAGCTCCCAAAATTCCACTGAGTAGCTCAGCCACTTCATTCTTGAAAGCCTAGAAGAGACCATTATCTCTGTACTGCCATACTGTTTCTTAGTACAAAACTATGACTCTTCATGGCAGTCCTCATCAATCTGAAGATTTATAACAACTAAACTCCTCCTTGAGCTCTTACCTGCCTGTTCAGTGCCACACTCATCAGGAAATACCCTTCCAGTGATGTCTGAGATTTTGGTGGGCCAGAGCATGATGGCTCAGAACTCCCTGTAAGTTTTGGCACCTACTGAAAACATGCTTGTTCCAACAAACTTTTCTTAAAAAATGATCTTACTGTCATAAAGAACTATGCAATGGTTTTAAACTTTATCACTTATATGAGAATTTTTTTCTACATTTTGGAAGAATTCTATATTTTAAACAAATCTCAACCCTTGATTTCCTCATCCCATTAAGATAACATTAGATTCTCTAATACTAATATAATAATTAACCAAAGTTAGGACCAGAAGCAGAACAGCAGTTCTCCTTCAAGGGAAGAGTACTAACTGTGCTACCTCTGCAATTGGCCTAAGACACTTGAAGTTCCCATATTTTATATTAAGATATATAAATTTGTGCATGAAAATAAAACATGCTTATTACAAAATACAGTTATGGAACTTCATTAATAGGGTCCTTAGGAGAGAAAGCAACAAACGCAAACACATCGTTTGGCCTTATTATTCTCTGCATTGGGTAAATGACTCACATTATTTGCCTTGTACTTTTCTCTGTAAGAAATGATGACCCAGTCAACAAGAATATTTATCTGTTTGGTGAAAAACACTGTTTCAGTTCCTAACCAGAAGGTCTTCAGAAGAACAGTCTGTGGCAGTATTTCCAAATGTTGTAAATCCATTCCTTCATAAAGACTGGAAGAGAAAGTTCCTAAATAACTGTTGTTATTTTATTACAGAAATCAGTTTAAGACCATAAAACTTATGTCATATTCATTTAGCTGATTTAAAAAATTACAAATCAATCCTATTATATCCAGTCTACAAGAAAATGATGATTAAAGCCACATTTGACTTCCATAAACCTAAAAAGCAGCCTACCATCTTGTTATGTGCTGAAAGCTCCTTTAAAGAAAAAGTCAAAAGGAAAATGAGTTTGCCATTCTGTTACCTGGGATGAGGATCTGTAACTGTAGAAATTTAACTGGTAACACACTAAAACATCAACTCAAGCTAAAAAAATAAAAGCATCAAAACTGTATATTGTAACAGTTCATTTCTTAACATTGTTCTCCCTGGAACTGTTTTTGGGCTTAAACTCTTTTGATTCTCTTTCTACATAGGTTTGCATGGAAATTTACACAGTTTTTGTACATGCTCTATCCCCCTGGTCCGACTAACTACATTGCCAAGCTTAGAAAAGTGTTATAACTGGCCCACAACTTTGTTTGGGATGACTTTGTAAATTTGTATAAAGATCTTGAAAGAATGGATTTCTAACTGCATACTACATATGCTATTTTTACAATGAGAGGTAAGTTTTCAGATAGAAAAATTTAAAACAAAACACCCAATCAAACAAAAACCATACATATAGCACATACAGAAAAAAGTGAGATAAGCAAGACATGAAAACAAGACACCAGGTGCTGTTCCAGATGGACTGTTCACTCACCAAAACCAGGCTGAGTATCACTAATGGCATTGAGGAAAGGTTTCAAGGGAGTGTGGGAGGCAGGTAAAGGTGTTAGGCACCTTCTCCAGTTCTAGCTGGACTATTCCTTTCTGTCACAAGGCCTTCTAGGAGAGATCCTGATGGCTTATTATATGTTTGTTGTGTTCACTGTGGTTTGATGTTGCTTGTTTTTTGGTGTTACTTGTAAGTTGCCTTGGATATCGCATCAAAAGGTTAAGATATACAAACTTGTATTGCATAAATTAAGAGGTTACATGATTTAGCCCTCTTACTACTCCAGTGCAGCTTCCATAAATTGACAGTATACTTTAGCATAATATGAGCACTGTGCATATTAAGCAAAAAACTTAATCTGGTACAGATTAAAAAAAAAGAATGGGAAATGAAGTTAAAGAGAAACACACTTATGTTTTAAAAAGTAAACACCTAATGTGTGAAAGTGAAAATTCAAAAATATTAAAGATCTTATCTTCATATAATAAAAGTGCAGGGAAAGTAATAGATGAGAAATGCTTAGCAAACACATTTCACTATAGCACAGCCTACTTTGGAGAAACGGCATTTTCCCCATAAAAATATAGGCACGGTCTACAATGCAACAGGATTTTAAAGGTTTTAATTGAAACACACCTTCTTGTTAATGCCAGCACTTCAGCTTGGAACAAATTCATGATAAACATTAGCAGGTCTTTGTGAAAGGTTCTCTCCTCATTTGCAATTTCTGGAACAGGGACTGAATGACAAATATTATCGTAGAAAAGGCAGGATCTGGGGGGACCACAAATAATATTCAAGGTTCAGTTGATCTGGCAAATAAGGTCATTTTTTGGTGCTTCTTTCTATTTCACATGAACATACATATGCACTTTCATACACCATTCCCCGTAAGGCATGCACCTGCATGTGTTTATGTACATTTCCAGCTGGATGGACAACTGTGTATACAAACACAATTCACATGACTCTTCAGCCTGGTCCAGAGCTGTGTTTATGATGCCTGGAAAAGAATTACTGAATTCTGCTGATTACCCTCTTTTGGAAAGGAGAATTAGGGAAATGATTCATTATTCCCTCCTCTCTGCCAAACAGATGAGCGATTTGATTCCAACTTTTTACACCAGCCTGTATGTGCACAGCTGCTCTAAACTGAAATACCTGAGATCTGAAGACATTTCCCCTATTTAAATTAAGAACTACTTTAAATTCAGGAACCCCCAAATAGTGATAAAACAAAGAAACCATCAGCCATGTACAACCACTACAAGTTCTTCAGCTGAATCCAGAACATCCACTATCACCTACAGCAGCTGCATAGCAACTGGCATTCACAGTGGCACACTCCCTCTGTGCATGAAGACCTCAGGCAGTCATTCAGAGTGTTATCCTGCATGAATATGACTGTGCTTCTTTTCAATCTAAGCAAGCAGCCCCCTACACACCGCACGGCACAAAATTCCACCAACTGTGTCTTGTGGGAAGATGTTGTTCATTTTATCTGTCCTAAATCTATTTTCCCATCAATGTCATTGACTTGGTTTGGACATAATAAGCCAAGCTATCTGATTGCAATACTGACACAAGCTATTTCAGTAAGCATAACTGCATGTGTTTGAAATTTAGGCACACTTAAACCTCATTGCAATTAATTACAGACTCTCCACTTGAGTGAGGACAAGTCAAATTGTCAATATACAGTTCCAATGGTTTTATCTGAAATGTGCTCTCCTGCCACTTCTACCATAGTCCTGTACTTGGAAGCAGAAGAGAAGATGCCTACACTATGGTCTGCATGCCAGCCCTTCAAGATACTTGCAGACCACTATTACATCTCATCTCAGCTTTTTATTTTCCATTGTCTCAACTGTTCCTCATGGGACATAATTTCCAGGCACTGTAAAAAACATACACATAGTTGAAAGGAACTGTAGAGATCTTGGTATAGTCAACTGCAGAACACGTTTTATGCCATTGTTCTGGAAATAAAGAGAAGCTAAAACCACAAGCAAGTTATTCAAAAAGCAATAGGCTGAGTCAAAACATGTGGGCAGATGTCAATTTCAGAGACAACAGAAAATTCCAACTTGGTTGCAGACTAAATGGTTTTGAACCTCTCACAGTCATTCTCAGTTCATCTGCAAAGTGAGGAGGGGAAGGACTTACTAATTGCACACCTTTAAAATGGATATGAAAGGCTGTTAACTTGGAGTTGCCGAGACCCTGTTATATACTAATTCTAAGTAGTATGAGTTGTCCCTTAAGTTTGGGTGTACTCTTGAACTCAGCCCTGAGCCTGGATGTGCAGGACTTGGTGATGGTGGTGTTTGTATAGCTGAGGATAGTGCACCATCCACACCCATTCCTAGAAAGATATCTGGCCATGATCATACACTTTAGTTCCATTTCCTTTGGACTGTAACACGTTTCAAATGAGGCTGCTTTTGAAACTGGTTCAGAAACACAAGCTGATCCAGAATGCTATAAGCAAACACTTGACTGGGGCTGGTTACACATAGCATGTTACTCCATTGTTACATTAGGCTCACTGGCTACTAGTCTGTTTCTGGACAGAACTCAAAGTGTTGGTGTTGACTTATAAAGCCCTATACAATTTTGGACAAGGCTACCTGAAATATCATTTTCTCCCATATGAGAATGCCTGAACTTTAATACTTTCTCAAAAGGCCCTTCTTTGAAGATGGCTGCCTTCAAGGGTGTGTTTGAAGAGGTATTTTAGTGGCCACTTCTAGGATATGGAATTACCTGCCAAGAGGCTAGGTTTGCCCTCTTTGATGTCCTTCCATCAGTAGACAAAATTTACTTTATTTAAGAAAGCCTTTAGTTTTTACAAGTGTCAGAATCACTGGATGCTCTTTTCAATAATATTCCCTCTGTAACTGTTGTTGATGCATTTTGATGTATCAATTTAATCAATTTAAATTGGCTCAACCTGCCATGAATGCCATTTTTTGGTAGAAAGGCAAAATACAAATAGACTAAGTAAATAAGAATTTGTTAAAAAAAACATTTTCTTAATAAAGTTCCACTCTATATGAAAATCTACACCCCAAAATTTGTTGAATGTAATTATTCTTTAGTATTTTTACCTCACAAGCATCTCTATTAGAGACCATGTTCCCCTCATGCAAACTGGACATTGAAGAACATCTAGGTAGTATCTTAACATGGAAGGTGATTTCCAAGGAGGATTATGTTGGAGCAGTGCATACATGATGTGAAAATACTGAGCAGGAAGTGTAGGAACTGAATATTCCTAAAAACAAACATGAACAAAAATTAGCCTAATATTGTGCTCCAAAGTTAAATCATTGCTTTTGCCACTGGAATTAGGCAAGGTTTCTAGATTACAAATATTTACTTATTATTTTAAATCATATAGCACTCCTCAATTATGTTTCCAAGGTGATCTGTATAATCAAATGTGATAAAATAAATTGGCAGTAAACAATTTTACTGGAATTATGTTATGGCTCTTCCACTGAAGCAGAGTTCATTTTGTTTATTATATCCACACTGCCTCCATCTTGGAACTGAAGCTGGTATGCACAAAAAAGATTCCTAGGCAATCTTTTAGCTTTCACCACAAACTCCTAACAAACAATTGGATAATTTAAAATTGCATTGGATGAACTGAAAGCTCACAATTTCAAGCTCTGTGGGTTTGTGTGCATGCATGTGTGTATATTTTAGAAAGGAGGAGATCTCCTTATCTTTGTGATTCCTTAAGGTCCAATTGCCACCCCAATGGATGAGAACAATATAGCCAGCCTAGGCCAGCCCCTGGAACAGCATCTGCAATTAAATTTCAGTCTGGGTAAAGTCACATACAATCAAACCCAGGGTTTAAAACTCTGGGTTGTTTGCTCCTCATTAAGCCAGACCTCAAAGTTTGGATAATGTAGAACATTCCAGGTTACTTGCTGAGTCGAATGCAAGGTGAAAGCAATGACCAGGTGGGAGGTCTAACCAACCAGGTTAGGGTTTTTTATGCTAACCGAGTCATATATTGCTCAATCCTCATAACAACCTTTTAAAACAGATTTGTATATTAAGCACATATTAAACAGAGGAAGGAGCGGAAGATGGAAAAGTGGGGCTGAAGATGCTGAAGAATTATGGAGGGTCTCTGGAAAATTTCAAATTCTTACAAAGGGTAAAGTTGCACTGGAACAATTTCATTTTCCACTGGAAAATGTTCTGATGCCCTCAAGGCGGATCTGATTTAGCCTGCCTATTTTGCTTGTATTTAATAAACAAAGATAAAGTGCATATGTTACTTTTTGTTCCTGTAAATAAATAATATTTGAAGGAAAATATTTAACATATATAATGTGATAATGTTATATTATGTGAAAAAGTATGAATATACTTGTAAAAGCAGGATGTATTCCCTTACATTGTTTAAATGTAAGGGGTGGGGGAAGTAATTTTCATTTTAGTCACCCAAAGAACTGTGCATGATATGTTGACAACCACTTCAATTATGCTGTCAGTTCCTTTTTCCATTAAGACATGTGTTCCAGAAGCGCATGTATATATATATATATATATATATATATATATCTCCTGTCCCATACATGTTAAGAATAATCACTTGAAAAATATTAATTACAAGTTTGAATTTGCCAAGCTTGCCTAATTTACAATTGGCATCTATTCATTTACAAACTTAGGAAAACCTATGGAAAACTAGTTTGCTGGGAGCAGGTACAGCATCACTTCATCTCAGACCTGTTCATTCCACCAACATGCAAGGTTGCTTTCATACAACCCTGGCTACAGACATGGAAATCCATGCAAATGGATTCTGAACTCCTATCCCGCTTACCATGCAACAGATAGGATTACTTTGTCCATGAGTTAATAGCTGAGGTAAGACAAACAGGTGACCCTGGAATAACTTAACCACTGCAGCACACAAGTTCTCATAAGCTATCATTTTTACCTGCAGTATGTGCTGCAGAAGTGAGTGAAGAAGTTTAGTAGGAGGAATTAGATCTTTCCCAGAAAGAAATTCTGTGATTGCAATAGGAAATAAATGATTGTCTACTAGTTCTTCAAGTATATTGTTTCTTGTAGAATGAGCATTTTTCACCTAAGAAATGAAAGATTCAATTATTAGTAGAAAATTAGCATTCCTCAGGTATAAACAGAAATAAACTAGGGTTGTTAAAAAGCTTAGTTGACTCATCCTGACTTCGCTGCTTAATCAATTAAGCAGCAAAAGCAATAGTTCTGAGAGCAAAGGATATATTTTTTACTTTTAGGAGTTGCATGAATCTGTCATAGGAAACGTATTTTGCATAAGGTACTCCCTCCTATATGACACAGAAAAGAGAGTGTTGTTGTTAAAACACTGTGCTTGCTATTGTCAATTTTTATAAATACTAGTATTAAAATAATTCTGTAAAATATGCTAATTAATTTGGATTACTTATTTAATTTGTAATAATTCTGTATCACTTAGTAACATCTCAAAGTGGTTCATGTATAAGGTAAAGGTCCCCCCACCCACACACACACACACACGTGCTACTCATGTCTAACTCTAGGGCTGGTGCTCATCTCCGTTTGTAAGCCAAAGAGTCAGCATTGTCTGAAGACACTTCTATGGTCATGTGGCCAGCATGACTAAATGCCTAGGCACACAGAATGCTGTTACCTTTCCCACCAAAGTGGTACCTATTTATCTACTTGTATCTGCATGTTTTCGAATTGGTAGGTAAGCAAGAGCTGGGATAAAGCAGCAGGTGCTCACCATGTTCAAATCCTAGATTTGAACTGCTGATCTTCTGATCAACAGGCCAGCGGCTCAACAATTTAACCTACTGTGCCATCCACGTTTCCTGGTTCACGTTAAGTAATTTTAAATACACTGTTAAAAACAAATTAATTTGCAGTAACGATACAAATCACATTTAAGAGGCACTATAAAAAACAATGTTGTAGACAAGAAGCTTGCTGCTGTATGACCAACTGCATGTGATGTTGATCCTTGTCCTTTATGGAGTCTTTCAGCTAGCCATGAGGAACTTAAAGGATGAATCAGGAGACTGGTAAATGCATGCCTACATGATACTGTGGATCATACTGCCTGAATCAAGTCTGTGTTCATGCCTAGTTTTGGGAAAGCATCTGCCTGGCTGCCCTGCAGAATGACCTTTTTCAGAATACGAATGGGGGTAACATGACATTGTTTCTTTTTCTTGGTCTCTCAGCAGTTACTTTCACAGAACTGTGCCTCAATATCTTGGTGGTTGAACACAGAACACTATTATGGGACATGATCTGTATGAATCTTATACCCGTATGAAGCTGGTAGGAATGGCTGTTGGAACTAGGGTGTCACCAGTACTGCTGATGATACCCAACTCTCTCTTTCTGTGACATCTGCATTGGGAAACTCTGCGCATACTCTGAACTGGTGTTTGGATGCAGTTACAGCATGGATGAAGGCTCATAAACAGAAGCAGAAATCCTGATCAGACAGAGAACGTATGTTTGGGTGGTTCCCCTGCCCTGGAAGTGGTCCGTTTGCATGTTCTGGATGTTGCTGCATTCCCTCTAAAGGAGCTGGTACATAGTTTGATAAACTCCCTAGATCAAGCCCCGACAATCCACATAGCTCAAAACGTCCAGTGCTGACTTCAGTTGGTACACCAAGTATACCTGTTCCTGGATAGAGACAGCCTAGTCACAGTGATTCATGCACTGGTAATTTCACAATTGCACTCCTGTAATGCATTGAAATGTATGAGGACTTGCCCTTGTACCTGGTTTGGAAGCTGCAGCTAGCAAAGAATGCAAAAGCTAGGGTACTTAGTGGTACCCCAGGTATGTTCAAACAACGCTACCAAAAGAACTTCATTGGCTATTCGCTACCAAGTAATTTTCAAGTTTATGCTATTGACATAAAGCCCTAAAAAACTTGAGGCCAGGATATCTAGCAGACTGCCTTCCCCTGTGAAAGCTGACCGTTCAGATCTTTGGAGGAGGCCTCAATGGTTATTCTATGACCAACAGAATGTCACTATGTAGTAATTCAAAGGCAGGCCTTCTTGTTGCCAGTACCTTCCGGAAAACTCTCTGCCATGCAGTTCAGGAAGCAGGAAATGTGTTATTTTTCAGGCATCTCCTGAAAATGTACATGTCCTTCAATGCCTTCCCTGGCTTGTAAGCAATGGCAATTAATCATATGCTGCTCCATCTTACTGCACTTGGTACTATTCCAAATTGTTATACAAGTTTAAATTGCTTTTATTACTTATTTAAAATATATTTTATTAGTGTGATTAAAGGTATTTAATTTCCACACATTAACCACTTAGAGATCTTTTATATCAAATGGCACATAAGTACAGTGGTACCTCAGCTCACGAACACCTCAGAGTTCACGACCAAATTGGGTCATGAACAGAAATTTCAGAAAAATTTTGCCTCAGGTTGCGAACTCCACATCAGGTGACGACCATGATCATGGCCATCCCGCCCCCCAACACGAGCATGATTGTGGCCATCTTCCCCACTCACGGTCGCAGACAGACCTGTGGTCTGTGGTCACTTGCCGTGAAGCTTATTAAATAATGGCTCCAAAGAAAGTGCAGAGCAATCATGGTGGTAAAAAGAACATGCAAAGCGACAATACAGGCGACCAGAACGTGCAGATTTTTCACCAAAATTGACCCTGCAGCTAAGAGACAAAGAAGAGAGGGAACCCCTGAAGGAGATCTCCCCGATGTCCTTACGGAGGGGGACCCTCCCTCAAAACAATAACCTCCCCCGCACCTAGGCTAGTGTTCTCTACTGTTCTGTACTTTGTTACTTTGTTGTTCTTTGTTACTAATTTTTCTGATTAAAAAAAGTATTTACAGAATGGATTAACCTTATTTACATTGAACCTTATGGGGAAATTTGACTTGGCTCACAACCAATTTGGGTCACGACCAGAGTCATGGAATGGATTAAGTTTGTGAGCCGAGGTACCAGTGCATTAATAGATATACACATAGATAGGAAACTGCCTTTTACTGTGTCAGACCATCGGTTCTAGCCCAGTATTGTGAATGCTGACTGGCATTGGCTTTCTATCATGTGAGGCAATAATTTCCAGCCCTTCTTGGAGATTCTGGGTATTGAACCAGGGACCTTCTTCATGCAAAGCATGTGCTTTATCACAGGGCTCCAGCTTTTTATACCAATATGTATTGAACCTGATGATCAGAAAGCTTTTCTAAAAGACTGATTCTACTGAAATCACCATGCATCTGAAAAGTCAAGAAAAGCATTTGTTTTGATAAAATTCAAACAAAAATCTGCTTTTACATTTGGAAAACACTAAAATGGAAAGTGCAGAATGCCTGCCTCCTGGGAAGAGCAACAGTCCTTTACCAGACTCATTCCAGAGATATGGAACAGGCAGAGCCTAGCCACACTCACACACACTCCTGCAACTTCTTGCTTGGACTATTATACTGTGCTCTATGTGCAGCTGATCTTAAAGATGGTCCAGAAACTGGTACAGAATAAGATAGCATGACTGCTGGTACAAGCAAATCTGCACACCCATTTTACTCCAATATTATATCATCTACCAGCTGAGCTCTATGCCCAATTGTTCTAACATATAAAATGCTATACATCATGGGATAAGGTTACATGGGGGACCACTTGCTCCCCTATGTACCTACCAGACCCCTAAGATCAGGTGAGGAGGCCCTTCTGAAAGAGCCATCCTCCATGGAGCTAAGGAGCATGGTGAATAAGAGAGAGGCCTTTTCAGTGGTTGTGCCTCATCTATGGGAAGGCCTCCTGAGAGCAATTTGCCCAGCACCTTCACCACAATCTTTTAGGCATCAGGCAAAAACAATTTTATTATACCTTTTAATAACTGTTTTTATACTGTTTGATTTTAAGGAATATGGTTTTACTTTGTTCCATAGTTTTAACATACTGTTTAACTCTATTCACACCTAATCTCTCAACTGCATATTGTATAGTTTATTGTATATTGTTACTCTGGTTAGAGGTTTTTATTGTGTATCATCACTGTGTATTGCTATGCATTTATGCTTATTTTTGTTTTAGTGTTGCTATTTCACATTTGTATTTTGCTCTTACTGTTGTTTTTATTTGTTTTCCTGTAATCAGCTTAGAGAGTCCTTAGGGCTAATTAATGTGGAATATAAGTTAAATAAATACATAAAAAATAGAAGCAAACCTGGGTAACAGTCAGTCAATCTTTGTACAATGGAAAACCAAACACCCCCACCCCTGCACAAGAATCAACAACTAGAACCAAAAAAGGTATGCCGTATTCTGCGTGCACATCAGGTCTTTTAAGATACTTCTTCCTATTGCTGATCCTAATGGCTCCCCCAAAAACATGCCTGAAGCTCATGGATACTCTGTAGCAACATTTGACATGCAAGAGGAATGACCACACATGTGGTTTGCATCTACAAACAGCTTCTCTAGATCCCAGACCACAAAGATCTGATCAGCGCTATGAAGAGTGATTTCTGTTCAGGGTTTTCTCCTTCTACTGTTCTAGTGTAATATGTATAGGTTGAAGATGCATTTGTTGAAATATAATTATTGACAAGGAGTTGAGGCCTTTCCCCCCATATACTTACCTCTATTCTGCAGTCATTCATTTGAGTATATTTGCTTAGCATAACCTGTAAATTGAAAGCAAGTTGATGTTATACAGATATACATATGAATGTTTACAATTTGTCTGCCCTAAGATACAATAATATTACAAAACAAATAATTTGGAAATCTGTCCCTTTGAATTCTACTAAGCTTACAAAAGATTCGTATCATAGTCTCATAACAAAGGATCTCAAATCTCAGATATTGAGACAGTGTATCTAAATAAATTATTACTGGTAACATTTTAACACTAGGTTTGTTCATACCCCCCCACCCCCCGACACACATATTTAAACACATGCACTGAAAGTTTCCTGCAGCTGGAAAGCCTTCCAGTTCAGCTGCCAAATGGGTAAATGTAATATACTGTTTTGTCCAATTTGATACAGCTTGCCTGCAAGTGGGATTTGAAAGTGCTGGTGTGTAGTATATGGGATACATGTCTCAGGAGGGGACAGTAGACCCATATCCTGCAAACAACTCTGGCCCACAAGCTTCCAAGGAACAGAGTCAAGTTTAGATAACTAGATTGATACTTAATTGGGCTGATATGCTTTCATTAACTTACACACACATGGTTCCTCTGACTAGTTCTGAGCAATTCCCCCCCCCCCGACACAACACAGCTCAAGCTGTTCACAAAGGTCTGCAGGCCTAGAGGCTGCAGAGAAATAAATGGTCCTCTGATTTTGCAACCTTTAGATGCCACCCATTGGTTTGCATTTGGTGAAGACTTGGCATAAATTGAAGGCAGTTCTGCTCACACAAAGAGGATTTCCTAAATTTTGCATCTTTCACTTCAGTCAAGGACAACACCTAATGCCATTCCAGAGGCTTCACTAGCCCACAGGAAGAGTTTTCTAAGGTGTGCAAAAAATTGGAATGGGGAAGAGTATTTTTTTGAACATGAGCAAGTAATTTTGGCTTACTTTAAAACTTTTAAATCTTGCATATTTTTCTTGGCAAATATCTTTTTCTCCAGTTCTACCATAAAGCAAGAGGTTTAGATAGAATTGACTTTACCTGTTGAAAATACATATGCTTTATCAGTGTACTTCTCACTTCTCCAAGATGCATGCAATTCATATTTCTTGATTCTTGTTCCAGCGTAAGATTGTTCTTCTGGTATATTTCAATATCATTTTTAATTTCATTCTGCACAATACATAAAGTATATTATAACCTATATAAGCAAAGTAGATGAAGGAGATTACAACTGAAACTGATATGCATGAACATTAGGATTTTGGGGATTAGATTGTACCACTGAAGCAACTGAAAATGAGTGTGAAAATGTTTAGAAAGAATATTTGTTAAATACATTGACCTGAGTCTACAGGTAGTCACATGCAAGACTTTTAGCTCAACTAGTAATGTGCTGGTAACAACCTCAAGTAATAACTTCAAACAGCTAACGAGGATGTTGGCATCATGAGGCAAATAGGAAAGTGCATTGTACCTTACACTGTGTGCTGCTGACAGGATTGCAGACTTAAATTAGCTCTTCTAATCATGTTCGACTACCAAGTAGAAGCCCTAATCCAGCTTTGAGGACCATGCTCGCAGTCCTGACTATTAAATGTGAGCAAAAAGCCAGGTGATTTTTGTACCAACACTTGTTTTCAAGTACAGATTTGCTTAGTATGATTGCAACACGGGCTTTACTCATAGTAAGCCATATATCCATATGGATGAACGGCATGCAACCCAGCGGCTGCTGCTTCCTCTTCCTTGTATGATGATGACGACGACGACAAAGACCATTACATTTCTATACCATCAGTAGCCAAAGCTCTCTGGGCTGTTCACAACATTTAAACGACCCATCCAGATTTCAACCAGGCCAAGATTAGGCTGCATTAGGCACATCAGATTATACGGAAGCTATCCCTTTGCACAAGCCAGGAATAAGCTTTGGGCTTAATCAAAGGTTCTTGTTATGTGTGACGTCAGAGATATGATTAAGAGCTTTCAAACAAGCTAGGGTTTATAACCCAATTTTATTTTGTAAACCAGGGTTTATAACTTGTTTCTAAAATTGGGTTGTGTGGAACACACCCAATGCCACTAAAATAATTTGCACTTCAAGACAGTTACTAATGAAGTAGTTTTTGGACATCTAACAGAGTTAAAACATAAGTACTATGATAGTCTACTTGAAGTTTTGACACAGACTAACAGCTAAGATTTTAATGTTTTCAAGTATACTTGCCTCTAAGAGATAGCTTCCTAAATAGCGAACTGGATAGTAGTGGACTCCAAAGAGATGCTTCTCTCTTCTTCCATTTAATGCTGAATTGTTAGTCAACACATGAGTAATATCCTTTGATTCACTTAATGCTGCACATATAGTAGCTTTTCCTGCCTCCAGAACCCTGAAAGAATGAAGTATTTTAAATTTGCTTTAAATATATTTTATTTTAAAGCCTACATCATTTGTAGAAAAGTACAATTCTATCCCTTAGCTTATACTTTCAGGAGTCTGCCTGTGTGGAAATGGAGAAACATGTAACTAAAAAGTAAGTTTTCTAAGAAAAACACAGTTCTTTTGATTTATCAATATAATAAGACTGACTAGTTTTAATATAATTGTGTTTTATTCCTAGATATTTTAATAATGCTTCTCTGTTTTCAGAGAAGTTTGCACTTGTCCATCTTATTGGACAGTAAGTCAAAAGGCAATTCAAACCATGATTTTTTAAATCTGGTCTACACTTGTTAAATTTCCTACATTTTCTTGCAAGTCCACTTGTATAAAATGGTCCCTGTATGGAAGTTAGCATAAACAAATCAAATATTTGTTTTTTTTTAGTTTTCCCTCTATCCAAGCAAGTTATCAAGTTTCTTCACATGGTAACAACCTCATATAAACATAAAAATATAAATTTGGTACAGTTTCAACTGCTATGCTCTCACAATTATCAAATTCAATTTACCTTTCATGTTCTGTCATCTTCACCTGTTATAACCTGAAGTCAAACTCACATTATCTAACAATGACATCCAAGGCACAACATTATATAGCTTTCCCTCCTATTTCTACCTGTAGCTATCAAGTGGCAGAGAGAGGCTTCTTGCTTCCTCTCCTCACTATTGCTGAAACAGGGTGCAAAATTTAGTCTCTTGAAGAACGCATGTGCGAAAACCAGGCCAACACACATGGGTATAGAGAAGGGGCAGCCAACCCTACTGAATTTTTCTTGCCTGCCACTTGTCAAATACTTGAGGCTCCAAGCACCTATATCACTTTGAAAAACAGTGATTTGAACTAAACAATTTACTTTGAAAGCAAGAATGCAACAATCTATTTTGATTCAACATGAAAGGATTTAAAAACAAGATGTCTTACAAGGTACAGCAATACAGATTTATTCTGGTGCCATAATACAACTGCCATCTTCTTGTATTTCCCCCTGCCCCAATTCATAAACAGCCAAGAAAATAGGGGATTGCTATTGGAAGATAAAGTAAAAATAACCTTTCTAAAGAACAAAGGGTAAAGGAGTAAAATAACAGTTGGGCATAATAAAGAAATCATCTCCAAAATAAAACTGAATTTTTAAGTAGAGTAATTGTCATTACAAAGGGGTGGCATGACATATTTTGCTGGTTTACATAAATATTAGAGGAAAACACCCCTCACAGAATGGAATGAACCCTAAAAAGAGCAGTTTATCATATTTATATCCTACATACTTTCTCCAAACAGTTTATAGCAGTATATGTGTAATTATCTCACTTTCTCCTCATAGTCCTGTGAAGTAGGTTATACTCTAATGTTATTTGTTTAAGCTTACTATATGGACTTCCAATAAAGAGATTTGAACCCAGAATTCCGCAGCAGAAGTTTAGCATTTTCCACAACACCATACTAGTTCTGTTTTGGAAGTCAGTTTACTCTGTACTTTCTACAAAGTGGTAGACGGAAGAACATGTCATTTTCTGCAGACAGCAATAATTTCCATGTTAAAAAGGGCATGCACTATTAATTTTGGGGTGTGCCATTCATTTTGTTTTGGCAGATGGAACCCTCCCCTTCAACTTGTAGAGAAACTAATATTTAATACACACTTCACAACTAACTGCACAGTTTTCTCTACACTGATATTATCGTCACATAAAGAAAAAGTATTTGAAGCAGCCGTACAGCATAAGTGCTCTGGCCCAGAGAAACTACAAAAAACATTAACACAAAACTATTTCCACAAGAATTTATTATTTCAGTTTTCAGATATCTTACCTTATGAGAGAATCCTTTCGTTTATCACTTCTTATAACAAGGAGGACAACTTTCCATCTGTGGAAGGCCCCTGCAGCACCAGAGCGTGTCAGCTCTTCGCGCCATCTTTTCGGTGCAGATTGCATTTGAGGTGAATAATGTGAGCCTTTTTCAATTTTATATCCCCATTCGTAAGTTGTTTCATCAAGCCATCTGCCACTTTCAGCACTATTAATTATGTAGTCCTTAGTTAGTATCCACTTTCCTGGAAAGCAAATGAACTGTCATCCACAAAAGAATTTTTGTGCAGACAAATGACAATCAAATGAGATCAAATAGCAAAATTAGCAGCAACCTCTGTTAAAGCAAATAGATATTTTAATGTATTTCCATACACTAAAAAATGTTTTCTAGACCATTAACATGCTTTTGTAACATTACATGTTACATGTTATTTTACATATAAGAATCCTGCAGCTTAAAAAATGACACGTTTTTAGAATTATGATTATATGTTTCTATACTACTTTAGTAGTGCAAGCTTATGCATGTCTACTTAGAAGTGAATTCTACCAAATTCAGTACCACTTGCTCCCAGGAAAGCAGATTTTACATTGCAGCCTACAGGTGCAAACCTATGGCCTCCCAACATTGTCAGGAGGGCCAGATGATTATTTGAAATGACAGCTCTGAGCTCCTGCAAATGTAGAGCTAGGACTCTGCACATGGAGACCGTTTTGGCCCCCACACAGCTCTTACGGGAAGAATTGTGCCAGCTGTGCCAAGATGGGCGTGCTGGAGGAACCAGGAGAGGAGGAAATTAGTGTTTAGGGGTTATATGGTATCCAAATGTATGCACCCTTCCTCTCTCTCCTTCTGTGATATTTTGTCTAGAAAGTACTGCAGAATGCAAGATGTGGCAGTGCCAAAAATCATCACCATTGTATCTCACTTCATGCCCTGGATGCATGTAAGCCTTTAAGTTTAGAAGCTTAATCATTTTAACATAGTAAAACAGTTCTTTAATTATGCATTTGGAACACCAGGTTGAGGAATACCTGACTGCAAAACACACAAATTTTAGAGATAATGGCTGCAAGTTGGTGACTAAATCCCTTGTCCATTCTTGCTCAAGGATCCTTTCCACAAAATCTACATTAAATTTTTATTTCTCTTTAATATATTTCAAATATACCCCTTTATGTTTTGTCAAAATCTGCTCTCAAAGACAAATAAGCCAGATACACAATCATATTTCTGCAACTTAAACCTGCAATACCTTTCACCTTCAAAATGTGAGACATAAATACCCTTAATCTATCAACTACCCAATACTGAAAAGTGCTATTACAGCACAGTGATTATCCTAATTCTGGAAAACTATACAGCCTAAGCCAGTATGAAATTTTAGAAGCAATTATAATAGCACTTCCACCCGAGTCCCATATTGATTTATCTTCTACTGGGAGCACATCATGGATGCATTATGCTTGCTTTAATGTGATTCTGATAGTGCTGATCTTTTTTTTCCTTGCCCCAAACCACATTTTCCAATGTTTTTAGGGTTCATACCAATAGCAGCAGTACAAAAGGGAACCACAGTATATTTCAAACTGAAGCAACTGAAACTCTGATCCTAATCAATTTCACAGCAGAGTGGAGCAGATTGTGTCATTGCACGGCAGCATTTTAGCAGATGGTACTTCTATAGGTGCTAGCTTTGGATTCCAGCAATCGTCTGATGAAAAAGTGTGTGTGTCGGGGGGGTGGGGGTGGGATGCATACTAAACCATTTTTCTTTAAGAATCATTACCCAATACTCGTACATTATTATTTCTTGATGAGAATATTTTACTACACAAAACCAAGGTATCTCTGATAGATTTGTAGTGGAGGGCAGGTAGACAACAGAGGCATAATTAAGAGACATTACAATGGCTTAATATACCAAAAACATTCAAGCACACTTTTCTTTCATTTGGATAGCTTCCACAAGTAAGCAGCTGCAACAAACTTCTGGAGATCAACAGTGGGGGTTTTTCTCCATTGATAGTGACACAAGAAAATTTAAGTTGCCATCAGGGAAACATGCATCACGACCTGGTTCAGATGTAATGGTTGGCATTAAGGGAACTTTAATGCCAACTTTAATTCATAAGCTTTAGGCTCACTTACTCCCCTTCTCCATAAGATCAAAAGTTTCCATTTCAAAAATAAGCACAATTTTCTGGTTCATTCTAGTTGGGAAACTACTTTCCCCCCCACAAAGTATAGTTAGTTTAGACAATGTTTATCCTGATTGTTAATCAAAATATAATGGAATGGCTGAAAATTATTAAAATTATATTTAGAATGGAAAAAACAGAGATAGTAAAACATAACGTGTAAAAGAAGATCTAGAGATTGTATTATTATGCACATACTACTTATGATAGTAAGTACAATTGTTTAAAAATTGTTGTTATTCCTTTTTTGCCCTGTAGAAGAAACTACTATAAAAATAAATTTATAGTAGCCCATGCAAGAGAAACTATTGCTTCCTCAGCTCTGCCAGCTCATGACAGCCAGGACAAAAGGAAGAGTGGACACACACTTCCCCTCCTTTCCACTCTCTTGTAGTAGGAGAATTAACTGGATCAGCCTCTCAATTGCTGTAGCTTTTAAAACTTGTTTAGAGGCAAAATGGATTTTTGAAGGAGCCTAGTTTCCTCAGCCAATCAGGTATCCCTTCCAAATGCCCAATTTTTGGCTAAATAGTCTGAAGAACATCGCAGAACATGGGAGGTTCAGATGAGAACATCCAGTGACTCCTGGGATGTACATCTTACGATTGTAGCCTTAAAATAAGTACAGTGGTATCTTGGCTCAGGAACTTAATCCGTTCCATGGTTCTGGATGTGACCCAAGTCAAATTTCCCCATAAGATTCAATGTAAATAAGGTTAATCCATTCTGGCCCCTCCGAATGTGGTTGTGAGCCAAATTTTGGTTGCAAACGAAGTCAAATTTCCCCATAAGGTTCAATGTAAATAAGGTTAATCCATTCTGTAACTATTTTAATCAGAAAATTTAGAAGCAAAGTGACAAAGAACAACAAAGTAACAAAGTACAGTACAGTGGAGAACACTAACCTAGGTTGGGGGGGGAGGTTATTGTTTTGAGGGAGAGTCCCCCTCCATAAGAACTTTCAGGGGTTTCCTCTCTTTTTTGTCTCTTAACTGCAGGGCCAATTTTGGTGAAAAATCTGTCTATAGTCACTTGTTTTTTCATGCGCTGCATAACCCTCCGGAAATGAGAGACATTATTATTCATCAGATTCAACACTCTGTTTGTTACAGTTATGTTGGGCTGGTGCATCTCAAAGAAATCCTCGCACTCGTTCCATTTTTTCATAATGGTTTGTATCACATCACTGCTAACCTCCTCCCTGTCTTCCTCTTCCTCAGCAAGTGCCTTCTGCTCCTCACTCTGGAGTTCACCAAGTTCTTCTGTCATCAGCTCCTCTATGTCTTCCCTGCACGAACACAACTGCAATCGTGGCCATCTCTCCACTTCGGGGTGCGGGGGTAGGGAGATGACCATGATCGTGCTGGTTGGTGGTGGGGGAAATGGCCGAGATTGCGCCCATCTTTCCTGCACGAGTGCGCCCATGATTACACATGTCTTCCCTGCACGAATGCAACTGTGATCGTTGCCATTTCCCCACTTGAGGGGGTGGGGAGATGGCCACAATCTTGGTTGCCAGCCAATGCGGAGTTTGAGACCCAAGCCAAAATTTTCACGAAATTTTTGTACATGACCTGATTTGGTTGTGAATCAAAGCGTTCGTGAGCCAAGGCACCACTGTATTATGGAGCTCAATGCTAAAAAAACAAGTTACATTATGATGATGGTAACTTTATTGTTAATGTTTCCAAGTCTGGGGTAAAACTGTAAGCAGAAGTTGTCACCTAGTGTTTTTTTTTTAATTATCATCAATTATTAAGTGTTCAGTGGCATTTCTGTTGGGACCTTTCCAATGGGAGGCAGCACTCTTCCAGCTCTGGTGTCACTGGGAGCCTTTTGCTTCATTCCAAACCCCTTCAACTGTCAAACTGGTAACTGTAAGACTGCACCCTAAGTGAAAAAACTCTATTAAAGTGTGAGTCAGATACAATGATTAACCTACAGAATAACTCGAACACTGTTCTTTTATATCAGGGTTGGGCAGAATGTGTACTGGGATCTACTGGTGGAGCTTTGAGTGATTTGCTATAGTTCTACAAGAGGTCCCAACTCCCAATTATTTAAGAATAGCAAGTTTTAGAGTTACTTTAGGCTGTTTAGTAATTCAACACATACATTTGTATTCATGTATGCCCTTCATCCCAGTCTATGGCTCATGGACTTCATGGATTTCATGGCGGCCATGGGGCTGTCTCAACACATCAGTGGCCCGACCCATGAACGTGGACACACTCTGGACCTGGTTTTCTAGACGGGGCAGGAAGAGGGTGATCTGAGGGTGAGGAATTTTAAGTTTGATGCCCTTGTCATGGTCAGATCACTTCCTCATAAGGTTTGAGCTCGAGAGCAGCCTTTCCCTCTGTAAGGGTGCGGACCAGATTGTATTGGTCCACCCCCGGAGCCGGATGGATCCTGATGGATTCCTGAAAGCTCTGGGGGATTTTCTGGTTGACAAGGCTGGTGATCCTGTTGATGCCCTGGTTGAACTGTGGAATGGGGAGATAACCAGGGCTATTGACATGATCACTCCCAAGCATCCTCTCCCACTTGGCAGAGCCCATTCATCTCCTTGGTATACACCTGAATTACGGGCAATGAAGCAGGTTGGGAGACGTCTAGAGCGTAGGTGGAGGAGATCACGGGGTGAATCTGACCGAACACACTTAAGAGCCCATTATCGGGCCTATGCTGTGGCGGTGAGGACGGCGAAGAAGAAATTCTTCTCTGCTTCCACTGCCTCCTCACGATGCCGTCCAGCGGAGCTCTTTCGGGTGGTGCAAGGGCTGATACATCCAGGCCCAAAGAAAGATCTCATACCACCCTCAAAGGCCCGCTGTGATGACTTTGTGAGGCATTTCAGGGAGAAAATCGCTCAGATTCGTCACGAGCTTGAACCAGATTCTACTGAGGAGATGCCAACGACGCCATCGAGTCCACAATTAATGGATGAATTTCAGTTGTTGCAGCCTGATGATGTGGACAAGGTGCTTGGACAAGTACGCCCTACCACCTGCTTACTAGACCCATGCCCATCCTGACTACTTAAGAAAGCCAAGGACGGGATTGGCACCTGGATCCTGGAGGTGGTCAACGCCTCTTTAAGAGACGGTCGGGTACTGTCCCCTTTAAAAGAGGCGGTAGTCCAACCAGTCCTAAAGAAGGCATCCCTGGATCCAGAGGTGGCCACCAATGATAGACCGGTGGCCAACATCCTGTTCCTGGGCAAGGTGCTAGAGCGGGTGGTGGTGGGACAACTCCAAGCATTCTTGGATGAAACTGATTATCTGGACCCATTTCAGTCCGGCTTCAGACCCGGGTACGGCACTGAATCTGCCTTGGTCGCCCTGTACTATGACCTGTGCAGGGAGAGACACAGGAGGAGTGCATCCCTGTTAGTTCTCCTGGACCTCTCAGCGGCTTTCGATACCATGGTCGATGGTATCGAAAG